TGGAGTGGCATTAAAGTGAAATCAACCACTGAAAATAAATCGCTTCAGAAGGCTGAGGCACTGACAAAGGAGATTGACAGAGAAGGAATGCGCTATTTGTGTTATTTGTTGTATCCATTGTGCATCGCAGGGGCCGCGTATTCGTTGTTATATCAACCACACAAAAGGTGCACATGGTTTTTTAAAAAATTAAATTAAATTTCATCATTCGCTTACCCAAAAATTAAAGGATTCAAAAGATTGCCCACATTTCGTAATCTTAATTTTAATAATTGAATTTTAACCTTGATCATTTAATAGTTGGTATTCCTGGACATTGAACTCATTAGTGAATGGAGTGTATGCATTCGGTTTCTTATTTATGTTACCGCAATTATTTGTGAATTATAAATTGAAATCAGTGGCCGCACTTCCATGGCGTGCATTCATGTACAAAGCGTTTAATACATTTATCGATGACGTATTTGCATTTATCATAACAATGCCCACATCGCATCGTATTGCCTGTTTCCGCGACGACATTGTGTTTTTAATTTATTTGGTAAGGCAATTGATAATCTTGAGTATTTTTACAATATTTAATACGTGTGTCACTTACAGTACCAACGATGGTTATATCCGGTGGACAAGAATCGAATGGATGATGGTACTGGTGAATTTACGGAAAGTGACGCTGTTGAGAATCACGATCAAGCCAATTCTAAGAAAAATAAATAAATAAAAAGAAATTACAAAATATCGCACACTTTAAATTTTAACTATCGACTATTGAAAAATACATTTTCATCACTAAATAAAAAAAAATATATAATTCGTTTTTCTTTTAAAACTTGACAATTAATTCGTTCCATTGAATGGTTCTGGTAAATGTGACATTTTATCCGATGCAAATTATAGGATGATGAATGATGAAAAATGTTCAACAAATATGCTGACATACTGCAATCAAAAGTGTAAAATCACATATGACTATGTATTATCTAAGAGCGACGGATTCTCAGATATATAGTGCGAGCGTGCACATACACCATACTCATATAGACAATCGTTTTGCGTATAATTATTATTAAAGTTACGTAATTGATTTGTTTCATTTATTTTCATTTCGTGTTTTTAGTTCAGCTGACATCTGAACGCCATGCGATATATATATATGTATCATATATACTGTATTTGTAGCCACTTGAGAGTC